GGCTATTTCACGCGGGGGACAATTTACTGCCACGTTTTCCTGAGTTTTTGAATATGCGAGGTCCCCGTAAAATGCGTTCAAAGTGAGAAAAGAAAAATAATAAGAAGAAACAGTACAAATACAATAGGCTCTCGCAGCCTTCGCTGCTCGGGCCTAATAATATTTTGATTTGTTGTTTGCTGTGCACAATATTAAGCAAGCTTGATAAAAAAAATTACTAAATTAAAAAGAAGTGTTCCTTCCTTGGCTATGCTTTGCAGACAAAAAAAATGACACAAGCCAAACCGGTTAAACAAAAAATATTCTCAGCAGCTGCAACTGTTACAAAAAAAGTCTGAAAATGAAAAATACATAGAATTATTCAATCACACAGTGTTCAGAAAGTGGATTTTCCACTATTCTGCACTTTAGATGGCTGTATCGATACTTTTGAAAATGAGTATTGTATCCGGATACAACGTTTCAGTATCGATACTTTTTTGAGTATCGATACTTTTGACAACCCTAGTCTTTTTCCTGCTTCACTAAGGTAGGCAGGAGCTTGACAAATCCATGATGGCAATTATTTTACATCCAAGTAGTATGCAGGTCTTCATATATATACACACACAACAATTCCAAACAGATGGTATCGGTATGGTATCGGCCAACAGTGCACAGCCAGGTATCGGTATCGGGAGGAAAAAAAATGGCATCCGTGTAACATTGCTTGTGGTGGAGTTTGGATGAGGTTGATCCTCACAAGATGGCGGCAAAAGCTAAATATAATCATTAGCTTGGGAAAAGAGTACAATTGTAACATTTTATATCAGGGTAAAGTTAACAAAACAAAGGAAAACTGTTTATTCAGAATCCCTCTAAATCAGACCCAAAGTCGTTCCTGGAGGGCCGCTGTCTCACAGGTTTTAGAGGTTTTTATGCTCCAGCAAAGCTGATAATTTACATTGATAGTTGATTAACAGGCTTCTGTTGAACTGCAATAATCAGAATCAGCTGTGCTAAAGCAGGGAAACCTCTAGAACATGCAGGACAGCGGCCCTCAAGAACAAACATTGGGGATACCTGCTCTAAATGATGTGAAGGGGCTGAAGGCTCTTTACACGTCTTAGGTTCTGGAACGTGGCACTTTGATAGAAACTGGACTCCCTTCTACTCTGGAGTGGTTCGCATTGAGAGGCAGGACAGCGCCCCACCCTATCGTCCCACCATCATTCTACTCGTGGACTTAAACACAGATGTGTAGAAGTCAGTGACACCTGAAGTAGCTTGATCAGCAGGAACGGACTTCCAGCTCTGAACCCTAGTGTTGTTTTGTTATTGGACTTCTGTGCAGCCATTGATTGTCTTGAATGAAAGCCATGTTCAAGCATAAGGATGTCCATGTCAATGATCACCTGTCGTTGTATCTTCCGACCTTTGGCTGTAAGTCTTTGACGTTTAGTTGGAGACAGAAGCAGAGGTGTCCACCAATCTAAACCTGGTGGTGAGCTGGATATGCAGAGAAGGAAACTGGACAGACTGTGCAGGCCCAAGCGAGTAGTGGGGGTCTACTGGGATCATCTGGTAGAGCCCTCTGTCAGCGACGTATTTAACTCCCACCTCTGGAAGAGTTTGTCCCAGATCCGGGGGAAGGCCTCTATAGTCAATGTGGCCACCCTAAGTTGTAGCCTTAAGGTCTGCAGTGCCTGTCATAGTAGTGATCCCCAAGCCCAGTGTTGGACACCTGAAGTAAATGATGCTGTCAAGATAAGGAAGGAGTCCTGCCGAGCCTGGCCTGCCTGTGGGACTCCCAAGGCAGGAAGTGGGTATCGTTAGGCCAAGTGTGACACTGCAAGGGCAGTCGTGGTCAGAGTTGGGCCTGGAAGAGTTTTAATAGAGCATGAAAGACTGTTGGGTCACCTCAAAGCAATTCTGACAACTGTCCGATGCCTCCAGAGGTAGAAACAAAGCTTTGCTAAAACTGTTTTTTGTGGGACTGAGGAGCTGCTGACACTGAATGAGAACATAATTGGACCCTGGAAGGCATACTTTCAGCATCTCCTCAACCTGGCCAACATGCCATCCATGGTGGAAAAATAGATAGGGTGCTTGGGCCTGAATAATTCAAGCTA